TAAGGACCATTTACAGGTTCATGTTAGGTTTTTATTACCAGAGTCTCCAGCAGCAGTATCTTCCTGCCCAAGACACAATATTTGCCTCCCCACACCATGAAGTCCCAATATTCCTGCTGTAATTCCTATAATGCATACAAAATAAAAGTCCACTACAGACAGCAAGACCCCCTTTGTAATGGATGTAGCAAGTTGGGAACCAAGGTTCAGGGTCTTCATGGAGTCCCTGACAAATATAGAAATTCAAGAGGAATGATCAAGCCAATAACTGGCTTCCAATCAAAGCAGAACTAGCAGTTTTAGGTCAGATGACCCTTTGGGCACCTCCTTAACTCACAGGTCCACTTTTATTCCTACAAGATACAGTGTTTTCTGCTGGAATAAACAATGTAAATTGCCCGCAGGCCGCAACTATTTTGTCAAAGTGACTTTTTTTCTAAAATCTGCCTTGATTTTTTTTTGCTCTCTTTTCTTGATGATCTAAATTGTGTTTTAGAAAAGCAGCTTCCTGCAGAGGTGGTATAAAGGATGGAAATCCAAAAATGCTTTTTATCCACGGCCAAGTTTCTGAAGGAAAGAAAAAAAATAAAAAAATAAAACAAGTGAGGATTTTAAATGGCTTTAATAAAAAGCATGTGCAGATTAGCTGGGAAGTGAAGCAAAACTGCAGGGTTGGGGAGCCATCTTGTCCTTCCTCCATCAGAAGCCTCGTTGTACAGGCCAAAGCAGCAATCGTATCATGACATTGCATCATGCTAGAAGCAATTTCTAAACCACTCGAGATCTTATTGATTGAGAGATTGCGCTCTTATCTCCGGACGGTATAAAATCTCAGGGGGATAACTCAGAATAAACCGCTTCCCCCAAAAGACCTCTTATTATTTCCTCACCTCAGCATTTATGACACGGATCAGTGACAGCCCTCCAGATAAAACGGCAGCATTATCAGGACACAAACCACAAACAACAGGCAGGACTGACACATGTGTACAAAATAAGGGAGACGTTACAGAGATATACATAGAGTGGGGAAGAATTTGAAACCGCAGACAGTCACAGGCTGTTCTGAATCACAGATGGGTTCGGTACTACAACGTACTATTATATTTAATCATTAACTATTTCGGGAGGAATCGTTATGGAGGTCAAAAAAAAAATAAACACCATTTAATGCAGCACTGTATTACAAATAATTTAATAATTTTTGCACCTGAATCTGAATTGACACGAGTCTCCTGTCATCTCCTATAGAGCAATACGCACACTGGGGCAACACTATGGACCAATTAGGCTTTTCAGCATGCACATGTGTCTAGAACAGCCATTCTTAACCTTTTCAACACAGAGGAATCCTTTAAATAACTTTCCGGTCTCAGGGAACTCCTACTAAAAATGACTATGGTGTCCGTTTATGAACCAGCAGTAATAGATCCTGCTCAGTTCTCCGGCATTCTCGGAGAACACAGTTCTCCTGTGAATGCCGTTTATGAAGCATATGTAGATCAGTTCTCCGAACAAAGGGAGAGAACGGTCTACAAACGCTGGAAAACGGCTGATTTTACTATAATCTTGCGAGATTACAGTAAAAGATCAGTTTACTAAACAGAGATAAATTATCTCTGCTTAGTTTTCGGTCCCTCCGATTCTCCAGCTCTGGGCTGGAGAATCTGGAGGGAGAACACAGATCTCCAGAGAAGGGCTGAACATATTCTCCTGGGTGTCATAAACTGTGAATGACCAGAGAATAACTGTGATCCTCTGAATCGCAGCTATTCTGTGTGTCATAAATGGACACCTATATCTACAACTCATGAGACATTAGTGTGATGGTCAGTGGGAAGAATGCTCCTCACATGTGTGGTCAGTGGAAAAAGATTACCCCCTTATAGATAGCTAAAAAGTTCAATGGTGTCAGTGGGAACTTATCTGAAAGGCAGAAATTGCTCATTGCTCAAGGAATTCCTAGCAACCTCTGGGGGAACCCTAATTGAGAAACCCTGATCTAGAAGAATTATACTGCCAGGAAGAAAGATCAGTTAGAAGAGTTTACGACTTGGTGTGTTGGTACTACAAGGTGACCTTCAATAAATATGATGGTGACAACTTTGACTAACTGCAGTGGATGTCTGCAGACATCTGATCATCTCTATGAATGCATCTGGGCACAGGTCCCCACACAGGTGACATCAGTCAAAGCTGGTGCATATATGTGAAGTAGGATATCTGTCATTAGCTATTTGAAATATACCGAGCATCGTAATGGGGAAGAAATGGGATTTAAGTGACTTTGAACATGGCATGGTTGTTGGTGCCAGACGGGCTGTCTGAGTATTTCAAAAACTGCAGATCTACTGGGATTTTCACACACAACCATCTCTAGGGTTTACAGAGAATAGTCGAAAAAAGATAAAATATCCAGTAAGTGGCAGTTGTGTGGACGAAAATGCCTTGTTGACGTCAAGAGGTCAGAGGAGAATTGGCAGACTGGTTCCAGATGATAGAAAGGCAACAGTAATTGATGTCATATGGACCAAAATCTCTGAGGAGTGTTTCCAACATCTTGTTGACTCTATGCCACAAAGAATTAAGGCAGTTCTGAAAGCAAAAGGGGGTCCAACCCGGTACTAGCAAGGTGTACCTAATAAAGTGGCCAGTGAGTGTATCTAATGGGTGTTCACTTTGGCAGACCTCCTTTGTGATGAAGTGAAAGCCTTTATTGGTAAACGCAAGTTATTAAAGGTGCAAACTTTCAGAATTCCTTAGAAATGTATAAAGCCTGATAAAGGGATCCAAGGAATCATAAAGGTTAGTCAATCAATTTCACATCAATTTCAAACTCCTCTGCATTAGGCCCTTTCAAATGGGATGGACTCTGTTATGATCAGCAGGGGATCTGTCTGCTGATCCTCTGCTGATCAGAGCAGAGCAGAGCAGGCAGATGACAGGTGTGTCCACTCAGTTTATGAACAGCAGACACAACCTGCTCTGCTGTGTGACCCAGCGGGTGTAAATGGACTCTGTTGTCCATTCTGCATAGATAGAGGGGGGCGGATTCCCTTCTGTTTTTTTTCTTTAGTGGACCAGATTGGATTGGAGATCCAAGTCCGTTTACACCCACCGGTCTGTAGAGGTGAATGGAGGGTCTGATCAGGTCCGCCTGAAAAACTGACAGGTGGACCTGATTGTACCCTTTGTGTGAAAGGGGCCTCAAAAGACAAGTGCACCTTTGGGAACAAGTTGCATGTTCCAACCGGTTTTAGGGTAGAATGTGTAACATGTTCCCATAGATGCAGCCATGCCCACCGCCCACCTCCCTTTGACAGATAGCATGGGGAAAACGTTTCCCCGTACTGTCAGATTTAAAAACAGCGCGCCCTAGCAGGGCTCCGCCCACATGGCCATGTAACTCATTCACAGAGGCTTCAGTTTGTAGTTTTCAATAAACTACTACGGTGCTATGGAACGCCGTGGTAGTTCACTGAAGTTTCCTGTCAGAATATCTGCTTGCCCGTACAACCCGTACATCCCATACATCCCGTACAGCAAGCAGATATTCTGAAAGGTCTGCAGGAGACCTGCATGGCATCAGTGATCTACTGATCGATGATGCAATACTTTCCAGGCTCCTGCAGACAAAAATAATAAATGCTCATTTTTTTACCTGCAAAACAATGTGCATTTATTATTTTTGTCAAAAAGGTGAACTTGTTCTTTAAGTGATGGCTAACACAGTACCATACTCTACTAATTCTTAGTCTTGAATAGAGCAGGAAAAAGTTAAAACCTTTCAACTTTTTATTGCTGTCTCACTTTGGAAATTCTTCCCACATTCTGTCATTTGTGTCAGACAGAGCAGGAAGTTGGGGTAAATTCCCAATGGGATGTGAGGAAGGTTTATTCATGCATTCCTCTTTAACCAAGGTGAAGATTTCCCTGTGCTTTCTGTCTAGGTGACAGGTGTACTAAATTGGGCCATACACCAGTAGAATTTTGTTCAACATTTTTCATTTTCGGAATGTTTATTTCATTTTCTAATAGTTAGTGGGGTCATATCAACAATTGTTTTCAACCCTAGTGACAAATGCATTTGCATGTTGGAAAATGTTTCACGAACTAACACAGTGAAAATGGTTTTTGTGAAGGAAAAATCATACATGTTGTAGTGCACATGGGTTAGGCACAAAAGAAACTGGTTTAATACCTCTGGGAATCCATTCAGGTCTGGACAATATTTAGGAGCTTTCAAATTAAATTAGTTGACTTAATGATGGCAAAATGGAATGTTCTGACAAACGTACAAATGTTTCAACAAAATTCCACTGGTGTATGGCCAGCCTAACTCCTACTGCTCTATTCAAAACTAAAACAAAATCTTAACTTGGACTTTTAGTACTGATAAAGGCTAGCATAGGGACCAGGCAGTTAGATGTTCTAACAAAAAAGGTAAGCAAGGCAGTGATGTTTTCCTTGTAACAGGTTTCCTTTAACTTTCAGTTTTTACTAGATGTGCTTTTAAGCTACATGTAAAAGATGAAGAATGCATTAACAGTAGGTTACAGGTAGAACATTTTAAAAAATGTGAGCATGTGCTTTAAGGCAGAACCACATCATTTAAATCACAGGGGGTTGTAACATATGGATATAAGATGTACTAGTTTATCTGTGGCTAACAAGTTCTCCAACATCATGAATCAATTAGTAAAATTGACCTTTTGGGAATTATTTTTGATCTGTAACGAGTACTCAAACAAATTACTAATTGGCTCTCTACTTCAAAAGGCTTTCCGATGTATGGTGCCGTGCTGTACCGACTCTCCACCTTGCTGGGACTTGTCCTGTGGGCGATGGCAGTGCAATTCCCGACTCTGATATTCAGGTGCTGATATAACGCTGTTATCAAGTTGGGGTAACAACCGAGTGATGCTGTTTACAGCATTCTGAACACTGATGTGAAATGTGTCGTCTGAAATATGCATGGTTATTACAGGTGGAAACATTATTTATTTTATTTGTAAAGGGCAGGGGCGGACCGACCATTTGGAAACTCGGGCACTGCCCGAGGGCCCGGGGTCAGTAGGGGGCCCCATGAGATGCCCCTGGTACCTTTTTCATAGGCTTTTTTCAGTTTGGGCAAGGACACAGGGGCTCCATGATCCCCTATTGCCCGGGGGCCCCATGGGTTGTCAGTCCGCCCCTGGTAAAGGGTTGATTGCACAACTACATACAGACACACATCGGATGTCAAAGGCCAGTCATGACTGGGCTCATGCTAAATATTCTTACTGGAATGATCATAAACGTATAGGCTTGAATATAAAATCTTTATATTTCACTTCGTGAACAAGCGAGAACAAACATTCCTGTTATGCTGGAGAAGGACTCAATGGTCAACACATTCCAGCTTCTATCCCCAATGGGTTGATCAGTCATGATGGTAGGCCAGGCTTGGAGGAAGTAGTGATTGGCCTACAGGTCTGTAATGTAAACTAAGCTCCATTTTTCTAAACTAGATATTTTTTTTTACACTCCTTGACTGCATAGTGCACTTAGAAATATAGCATTAGGCACCCTACTAATTTTCAACAGGCTATCAATGCACCAGAAAGATTGGACCTACCTGAATTTGTTTTAATGCAGTGCAACGTAATGCACAGGACAGGAAGAGAAGGGAAGCCTTCTCAATGGCAAAGAAAACCCCAACAGGAGTTTTAACCTCTCCCTGCTCTATCCAAAATGAAAAAAAAATTTCGGACTGAGATATATTCAAAGAGACGCTGTCACTACCTCTTAAGGACTGGCCGAGATTCGATGAATCTTTGGGCATACTGGTTGTACCCAAGTCGATTCATCGATTGGCTTGGGTAAAACCAGCCTGTCGGATTTTTTAAAATAAGATTACTGCCGGTGACTATAGACGCTAACAGTAATCATTGTGTTCTGCCAGCCAGGAAGGCTCCCTGCTGGCAGAACACAATAACACTGTGGGAAAGATTCTGACTGTGTTGATGGGGGAATCTAACAATTTTTCTTTCCTTCCACCTTTGGTGAAAGGAAAGATAATCACATAATCTATGGCCTGCTTTAGTTTCTAAACAAATGGCACCAGATCAAAATGCAATCAACAAACTTACTATTGATGCGTTTCTATTTGCAAAACACTAGGCCCGTGCAGAGCTACTACCCCAATGACGTCCTCAACACTTTCTTCCGTCACATGCCAAGTAACTGAACAAGACTCCATGGCAACAGCAGCTATCTGCAATGACAAGACGCTCCCGAGCCGCTCTCCAGCATGCATGTGTGGGATCATCAAGCTCACAGCATGCTAGGTACCCCTGATTTAAAAAACAAGATGGTGTCACCAGTAAGCAGGAAGAGGTCTTTGAGGCCACTGAAGATTATGGTCATAAGGTGCAAAACTAAAAAAAATTTTAAGAGGGAAAAAATGGTAAAGGGCCTCTTTAGGATTGAACAACATGACAGCCAGCTAACCAGCACCTTCAGAAGGAGGCTTTGCAATGGCAGGACTGTATTTCGAGCATTGCAAGCTTTCTACAAAGAAGCCATATTTTCCATACAATTCACTGATGATGGCCAAGAAAGCTTGAAACAACTGTATGCAATGCACTATACACTGGTGGTTCAGCCTGATAGGGAAAAAAGCAAAGATTTTCAAGACTTTTAATGACTGTCCTGAGATGAGGAATAATACTATTTTTGGAATTTTTGATAGAATGAGATATAAATATATAATGTTTGAAGGTTTCATATTTCTACACACTGATTCGGTTGGAGGGCTTTTTTATTGCTTTAGTCACTATAGTTGCTTTTCTCACCATTTATTTCCGGTTATACTGTCTACATGTATATCTATAAATCATAAAAAAATAAACTTTAGTTCCTCCAAGTGAAACTAGAGATATTTTAAACATTGTGAGGATTATTATTCATTTTTTTCTTACATTCATTCTGAACGATTACATTCACCGCGACTACATGTGAACCCTACAAGGCGACAAACATTTGAGAACAGTAAGTTCTACACCCTCACTGTTTATATACGCTTCTTTCCAATACATTGAAACATTCAACCATCCGCCAAGTTTCATGTGGCGTCGCCTTATGTTCCAGTCACCATTTGAATTCCCAGAATTCATACATTGTTAGCTTCATTCTTTCAAGCCCCCCTTCTCCCTGTTGGTCTCATCAGGCTTTTTAGATTTTAAGCAACCCTTTAATGCAAGCAAGGATTATCTGAATAACAGAAGTAAACACAGTATAAGCTCTCGATGTATGTCAAAGTTTTGATGATGTTTATCGGTGGAATTGGAAGGCCACATTTACCATCCAAGGCCCAAGGATAAAAAGCATCTGTCTGTTTGTGACACTATTCGTTCCTCATCAAAACACTTTAATGTGACAATAAACATGCAAATGAGCTTTCATATTAAGATTAAGGACCACATTCCAGAAATCAAGGATTTTAGCAAGACGTAACCTGTCTTAAATTTAACCTCTGACAAACCTGGAAATTTTAAATCAAAGATAGAATGAAAAAAATGCTGAAGTAGTTTTATTAGGAAAAAAAATCTATTAAAAGCCCCATTTACTTTACAAAATCTGTGGTCAAATACAGTGTAGGATGATCCTTCTTCTAGTGCCCACATTGTTCCTTGGTGACAAGAACGCTTCTCATTGGCTGACAACGATGTTCATAGGTGGAACCCTCAAAAGTTCCAAAGCAGCGCAATGATGTCATGATGCCAGAAAAGGCAATACGGAGGATCACGCAATAATGGACTTTGGTACTTAAATTTGGGTTTTAGGGTGTTAAAAAAATGCATAAACCAGTATGGATGGGTGATGTGAGTGGGATTAGTTTTTGCCTTTAAAATCTGAGCTTGACTGCCACCTCCTGAGTCTTCCTATTGATCCAGTCATGTAATAGTTTGGACTATTAGAGTAAGTAGGAGCTATATCAGGGTAAGAAGCTGGGTTTTACCATACAATTTGAAATTTGCAACTGAAGAAGATCTGGAAACTATGCCTTAAAAATTCTAGCAAATGTCTATTCTGGCAAAGGACTAGCCAGTATTGCCTGAAGGTAACATGCAGCTTATCTTTTCCTTATACTGACTTAGCATACCTTTTTTTTTCACTGTCTCTGCGTGGAGACAGCCATTTTGTTAGAGGGAGGCCTTTGCTTCCATATGCCAGAGCTGTTCCCGATGACTGGTAATCTTGTAACCGGTAGGAGAAAATTCAAAAAGCATCAGGTAACATGGAGGAAGTACAGATCCAGTGAAAAAGAGTCAGGAAGATCTTCGTAATACAGCCTCCTTGCCAGCAAGCAGCACGGCAGTTACATTATTGAATCTCACTTCAAATGTGGTCAAACTAAAGTCAGATGTACAGTGCCTTAGATGAACCCACCATGCAGATATACAGCTAAGAGTTCAGGAGAACCTAGGCATACTCTCATACCAGTACACTACTATTTTTCAGGAATTCTAGACTTTTCAAAATACAGCTTAAGCACAATTAACATATCTAGATGTTCTTTATAACATAGAAATATAAGCAGCTGAACGTGGTCTTCAGCTCAAATAGTGAAGATTTGCTGTGTTCATTTTTCAAAATGATTAGCTCATAGTTTTAAAAACTGAGTTTTCATTACACCCTCTTTCACATGCTTGGTGTGACCTGCCCAGGTTTGTGACAGGTTTACTTTAAGATACAGCTTGATAAAATCCTTGATTCCTGAACTGTTGCCCTTAATCTTAACTATCAAAGCTCATTTGCATGTTTATTATGGCATTAAAGTGTTTTGATGAGGAACGGATAGTGGAACAAACTGACAAATGATTTTATCCTTGGGCCTTGGATGGTAAATGAGACCTTCCATTTCCACCAGTAAACCTTCTCAGAACTCCCTACACACATCCAAGTTTGTAGAGTGTTTACTTTTGTCATTCAGATAATCCCCACTTGCAAAAACTGTTTTTTTGAAAGTCTAAAATGTCTGACAAGACCAAAAAAATTGTCTACAAAGGATTTTTTTTAAAACAGTACACTAAGCAGTTATTTTTTTTTCTTTTTTTAGAACTGAAATACTGCCTTGATAGCACTGGCCACTAGGTTATATTTCTCACAGCTGTCTGGAAGTTCTCTTTAATTTGACTTTGACATGTTAATGCAAATGAATGAATTAAAACAAGGAAAACAGCAGACATGTTTGACATCCTCAAAAGAAAATACGTGTAAACACGGCTAAAAAAAAAACAAAGAAAAGGAAAGGACCTGCATTAAAAGTATTCTTGTATGCAAATTTAATAGATTCCAAACCAGGTGCCTTGTACTTTACAGATTAGTGAGAATCGCACTATTTCTCATTAAATAATCCTCTGCTTGGTTATACAGGACAAAGCAACAAATTCATTTAACAGCCTCAGCTCTACATAGTCACTTTCCTTTTTTAACCCCGCTCCATTCAACCACTGGGATCGAAGAGAGGAAACTCTGTTTAGGATTTTAGATGCAACCTTCTTTCGGCCACCATTTGGCAGAACAGGGTGCGTGAGTGGCCAGTTGAAAAGTACTACTGCTGTGACATGGGGGGACTAGAAGTGAGCCACACCCAGAAGAAACAGGCTTTCTCTTCACTTCCCCAAGTGAAGCAGATGCAGGGGCTGGCAATAAAGTGAACCTGTTGCTTTGTTTTGCATGGTCAAACCCAGGGGCGGACTGACAACTCATGGGGCCGCCGGGCAATATGGGATCATGAGGCCTTTGTGTCCTTGCCCACACTCACAAAAGCCTATAAAAAAGGTACCAGGGGCATTTCATGGGGCCCCCTACTGACCCCAGGCCCTCGGGCAGTGCCCGAGTGCTCGAATGGTCAGTCCGTCCCTGGTCAAAGCACACTTTCATGTTAAAGTGGAACTATATTGAACTTGCGGTAGGTGGGTTTTAGCAATAATGTGCAAGTATGCATAACATCTTTGCACATTACGGCAGAATTTACATGCCAAAGAGACCCCTTTCGGAGTGATTTTTCTCTCACCTGCACTGATATATTCACCCAGTCTTCTAATAGTTTGGAGTAAGAATGAGCTCAGACGTGTTGGTATCATAACCAAACCTACCCATCCAATCCAACTAGGAAGCTGTCACCTGCCCTTGGCCAACCATAAGTGTCTGAGGC